ACTGCTACCCCTGCGTCTAAGGATTTTGTGACCTGGTCGTAGAAGGCCACCAGGTTGGTCTGACAGGACCTGCCTCTAATGAATCCATGTTGGTTGCCCCTAAGCATAACCTCCCCTGCTGGCCCCTTGCAGACATGCGCCAGGATAATTCTCTCAAAAAGCTTACCCAGGATTGAGGTAAGACTAACTGGCCTATAGTTCCCTGGGTCCTCCTTCCTCCCTTTTTTGAAAATGGGAACCACATTGGCCCTTTTCCAGTCCTCTGGCACCACACCAGAGCACCACGAGCGCTTGTAAAGCCGTGCCAGGGGTCCCGCAATGACCTCTGCTAATTCCTTCAGCACTCTGGGGTGGAGGTCGTCAGGACCAGCTGATTTAAATACATCCAGTCCCTCCAGAAGTTCCCTGACTAGATCCTCATTGACCCTAGGCCTGGGTGTGCCTCTCCCGGGGCCTGAGGGGGTCCTGGCGGACAGGCTGATCTGGTCCCTGCTCAGGAAAATGGACGCAAAGAAATCGTTAAATAGGTTAGCCTTGTCATTTGGTGCAACAACCAGATTTCCTAGCGTGTCTTGCAGAGGCCCCACATTACCCGGTACCTACTTTTTGCCCCCTATGTATTTAAAAAAGGACTTCTTGTTGTCCTTGATCTGGGTCGCTAGTCCCAGTTCCATCTCTGCCTTGGCCTTCCTGACCGCCCCGCTACAGCCCTGAGCAACCGAGGTATAGTCTTCCCTGGTGATGGCCCCTCCTTTCCATTGGGTGTATGCCTCCCTTTTTGCTAGGAGACGTTCTCTTATTGAGCATCTGAGCAGACATAAGGTCAAAAGGCATTTATTTCCCCAAACCACAGATAGTTTGGGGGCACTTGATATAAAGTGAACAAAGCATATAAGTGAGGTGCTGCACCTATTCAATATCCCATTGACTTCAAACTGCTTTGCCAGTGCTAAATTTGTCAAATTTGACTTGGCCCCAACAAGGATAAATCATTTCAACAAGATACATGTTGTGATGAGGACCTTATTTCGTTTCTGCAACCGTTTTGCACATTTTCCTAGCATTGAGGCCTCTCCCCCAGACTCTGGCCTAGCTAAATGCCAAGTAGAGCAGGGATTTATCGCCCCACCACCCTATCACAGCTATACCATGCAGAGCTAGCAAGGTGCATCTCAAGACAGAGTTGCCTGGCCCCACATGGACAGTCTCCACAGCATAAGATCATTTACACAAGGAGAGCTCTTGCATGTTTAACATTAAGCACCTGCTTAAATACTTTTCCAAACTGGAGTTGTAACCAGCAGGTGACACTGTCAAAGGAGGAAACAAACTACAGCTGTAGACCATCTTAGTAACATGCAGTATGCCAGGCACACGCTCACAAAACTCAGAGGCATTCATCACATGCCTCTGAGAGAAATGCTGGAAAGCAAAGGGTGCCTCAAAGAACCAATCACACATTTCAGCAAGGAAAGACTATAAGAACAATAGTTCATTTAATCATGATCGTTGCTAAAAGCCATTTCACAATCCTTTCTTCAAATGCATAATCATCTGTACATTATTGCACTCAAGTGGAGGAAGATATATTTCTGCCTGTTTAGTAATTTGGCTAAAAAATTACTTTTCATCCCGGAGCATAAATGGCTATAAAATGGTTTCTAAGCTTTTTTTCCGCAAACAGTCCAAACGATGCTAGTTTCATCCCCAGTCATTTGTAAATGAGCTCCAAGAATCATGACAAGCTAAGAAAGGTTTGGCAGACATTATTCCTCAGGATGAGTTTTATACTTTTAAATAAACATTAAGCTAAAATGAAAAACTTTCTCCTGGAGTACTTGGCTATTTCCTTCTTTGACAGAATGACTAATTTGGTGAAGGAAAGGAATTCAGTGGACATAATATTCTTGGACTTTAAAAAAGCTTTTGACACATCCAGTTTGATAGTCTCATAAGTAACCTGAAGAGATGTGGGGTAGGTAGAAGGATACGTAGGTAGATGAAGAATTGGCCACGTAACCCCAAACAAAGAATGACTAGATCAATGTCACAATAGCTAGAGGTTTCAAGCTGGGGCTTCCACAGGTTCAGGGGCAGGTGTTGATTAACAATTTTACTAATGATTTGGATACAGGACTAGAAAATATCCTCATCAAGTCTGTAAGCGACACAAAACTGGGAGGAACTGCAAATACTTTGGAGGGTTAGAATTTAAAAGGACCTTGATAAAACAGAACTGAGCCAGAGACAACAAAATGAAATGCACCATAGGAAAATGTAACCCAACACCAAGAGAACTAAAACAAGATGCACAAATGCAGAATGAGAGAATTGCTTAGGCAGTAACCCTGCTATGAAGGACCTGGGGGTTCTCACTGATCACAAACTCATCCTGGGTCAGACATGTGACTGTTGCAAAAGAAGCAAGTGGAGGTCTGGGTTGCATTAACAGAAGCATTGCATGCAAGACATGGGACGTCATACACACTTCACTAATTTAGGTTAAATTGCTTTATTGAACTTCTGTCCCAGACCCCGCCTCCAGATTCAAGGTAACTCTCACTGAGGCCCACTGATTTGGGGCTCAGTGAAAACACTGCTTGCAGTTCTGGGCTCTGAATTTTAGCAAGGACATAGAGAAACTGGAAAGACTTCAGAGGAGAGCGACAGATGATAAAAAGCTTGGGAAATAAGATGTATGAGGAAAGGTTGAGAGAACCTGGTATGTTTATTCTGGAGAAAAGAAGATTAAAGGGAGACATGACAGCAGATTTCACATGTTTGAAAGTCTGCCATAGTGAAGAGGGAGAACAACTATTCTCCCTTTTCACAGAGGGCAGGAACCAAAGCCATAGGTTTAAACGGCAACAAAGCAGGTTTCGATTAAAACTCAGGAAAAAAAATACTTTCTTAACCGTAAGGACAGTCAGATAAAGGAACAAGCTGCCCAGGGAAATGATGGACTCTCCAAAGGGGTCTGGAAAAGTGTTTGTCTGAGATGGTTTAGGAATAGCACACTTGCATATTGTAATTTGTATGGGGACTGGACTATACATGACCCTTAACATCTATTCAACCTTTGATTCTATGATTGTACCACATCCCTTGTTTCTTCTAGTGAAAAAAAAGTTGAGAGAGAAAGAGTGAGGGAATACTTGTTTCAAACAAAAACAAAGAACCCCCCCAAATTTTTCATTTAAAACGTTTTATGGAAAAAGCCTATTTCCTTCATTAAAAGTATTTACCCTATTTGGACCAGTTCCACTCATTGTTGAGTAAACCGGAGCGATGAACACATTCCATGAAATCTTGGGTTGTTCACGGGCATCACAGGGCTCTAATGCCTAGATGCCACCTACACCCATGGCTAATACACTCAGTGCTTTCCCGCTCTTCATTTTTATAGTGATGGGTCCAAACTTCAAAGGAATTCAGATCCAGATCTGAACATGGCTCTAAACTTCCAGAGTTGGGCACAACCCTAGTAAATACACAAAGAGTTGCAGATAAAAATCCCAAAATGTAATGGATCTACCATAAATAGTGATAAAGCCAGGAGGAGTTGTGGGCATTCAGAACCAGGCAGTATTGGAAGGTATATAGCATTAGCCATAGACCTTTCTTACTTTTTATTGTAACTAAACTTTTGGTACTCACTTGCCCTTTTCTCCGTAGCTGTCAGTGGCTGACGTTGCAGAAACGATGCAGATCACCAATGGGCACCCTGAAAAATTCAGAGATAAGTGACAGAGTTAGAAACAGAACTGCACTCTATTCCTTCCTTTCACCAAACTTGGCAATTTCATGGGCAGCAAAACAGATGAACGCACAGCTCGGAAACACATGAACTAAGACTCTATCTGCAGCTACATAACCCAGTCACCTGCACACAGACTACCTTTAAACAGAGGGAGACATTTCAATACAAGAGTTTATCCTTTACTCTCAATAGCCAATTAAGAAATTTGGCCTGAATAATGGCCTTTAAAAGGCAGTTGTGGCTATTTTTTTCCTACACATATCAATCCTTTCTTATATCCACTTTTTTTGCTTATAAAATCTCCCTCTCTTCCAATGGTGACCTGTAAAGCATCACCGGGCTCACCTCCTGAGTATGTACTTCCAATCCAAAAAATAATCTTAGAAAATAGAGTCGAGTCTCCCAGGATAAAGATAGTATAGCAATATTAATGTTCAGTTACTCTCTTGAGTGTGACAGGAGTAGGAAGAGACAGTTATGAATGAACTGAAGCAAATTAAGATACCATTCAGATGCCCAATCAGAACACATTTCCTCATATGAATGAATGGGTTGGACTAGCGGCATATGTATTTTTTAGTAAATTATGTTTCCAGAAAGGGCTTGACAATCCCATTGCACTGCCTCCAAGAAGGTGGAAAAAATGTTTTACATGATTATAGAATTATTATACAAATCCTGATAACTGTGCTTCTGCCATCAACAGTAGCTGTGCAAATCTGGCCCAGAGCATGCTGATATCCTGCTGTGCCTCTTCAGCATTGTTATTCCAAGCCACTAGCTGGAGAGGAAGTAAGGTTCCTATTGCCAGCAGTTGTGAACTCGCTCTTAAAGCTCTTTAAATATTAAATTATCTGTCAGGCCCTTCTAAAATGTCTCATGTAATTTAATATAAAATGACAGGTGTTTTTTATCATCTTACAGAATTTAATCATCATGTCCCTGCCAGAGAATTGTAAAAGATGGCTTTAAAAATCATACTGAAAAAGATGATTCTCCATTAAAATCTACAGCTTTTTGCATTAGTTTCTACAAAACGGTCAAATTAATTTCTGTAGAACTTTATTGGATTTATCCTATTAAATGTTATAGGATTGGTCCGTAAGGGTGAACATATAATTTTAGGAAGAGATGCTTAAATTCTTAAATGATTAAAGTCAGCATCAACCCATCCTTCTACATGACAAGGATATGCAACCGCTAACGAATAAAACCTCTAGGTTTTGCTTCATACCTAGCTAACTTGTGTGAAATTATTCCTCATTAACGTAAGTGGGTCCTTAGTCTGAAAAGCGCCAAGCTGAAGAGTGCATTGCAATGTCTAAAATATTTTTGAGAACCATCAGTTGGGTTTATTGGGGAAAAAACCACACATAGGAAAATCCTCGCCATTCATGTAAAAATCCTACCCATTCATATCTGATGCCTAGAACAAGTCCATTCACCTGTTTAAGTGTTGGCCACTGAAGTGGGGCCCATATGCCTTTACGTGAGCCCTGCTCTTGGGAGTGCCAAAAGCCCAGATTTTTACTATTGCAAGCGCGGCGGAGTAAGAGTATGCATAATGCTGTAATCAGGTGGGACAATTACAGCTCATGTAAATAAATCTGAAGAAGTTGGCAAATATGAACCCTTACTTGACATCATAAGAAGAAGAAAGATGCAGTGGTTTGGACGGGTAACAAGAAGAACTTTGAACCCTTGCCAGTACCATCCTGCAGGGTGCTGTGGACGGACAAAGAGGAAGACCTAGGATGAGCTGGACCACCAAAGTCACCAACTGGATGGGATAAAAATTGACTGACTGTGTAAGAATTATTAAAAAAACGGGTGGAAGAATGAAGGAAATGTATTGCTCCATCAAAGGTGCCCCAATGGGCGGTGTGGCTGCGGAACACACTGGCTGAGTGAAACAAATCTGAGGTAGCTTTAGTCTAGCTATTTTAGATACCAAGAGTATCTATTTTAGTGGAATATTTAGCTATAGTGGAATATTTTAGATTTCACTACTTGTGGAAGCAGGGGTTGCACAAACCAGCCTGGTACTCCAGGTATTTATTCAGCCATTGTGGTTTCACTTCTGCTGAGACGCAGAGTACCTAGATTAAATCTTACTCAAATACAACTATATATACCAGACCCTCGGCCCAGTTTTTGTTGCTTGAGGTGAACAGTTCTGTGGTGCAAATTCCCTTCCCAGGGCAAACAGGCACCACAGAGGCTAACCCGTCACGTGTGCTAATAAAGCTTGTGCTTACTCTATCTTACCAGCTTGCCTGTTTTCCAGGCAAACTTCAGATATTCGGAGGCTTTAACTTGATTGTTTATCAATTTTAAACTGCAGCGAAGAAGAAAATTAAATACAGAGTTCTTGGCAAGATAATAAAACTTATGCAGATAAAATGTAGTGCAGTCATCTGGATAACAAGAACAGTTAATTCAATGAATGTAAAATGGTCTTCAGCCTACAGCACCGTGTTTCTCCTTACTTTACATTAACAGGATTTTAAAAAGATAGGTTGGGGTGGAAAGCGGCATGAGGCTCGTGTTACTATGAAGCAAATACAATGTTCTAAGAAAAACGCAGTCAAGAAATGCTAAAAGGATTAGAAACAAACATGGTCAGCTGAAGGGGATCAGAAGACTTGATCTGGACTGAAAAGCTGCCATGGGCTATATATTCCAAAAAAAATTAAATGTGTTTTCTTAATCCTTGGTCAGTATGTAACAATTTTCAACTCGCTATAAGATTCAGATAGCATTCAAGGACAGTTTATTCTAGCAACACAACGGGAAAGGTGCTAATGCTGTGCTAGTGCTGTTTATTACCCATGTAAGAAATAGAAGTCACATTTTATATGGTGCGTAACATTTCGCAGTTGCATTTTACAAAGATGTACACTGCTTCTACCTCCCATATTCAGATTTATGTAGTAAGCTGTACTTTTGGGTATGCAGTACCAAACACAGACCACCATAGTATGCTCCGCTGTTGGCCAACTGATGGTACTTGCAACATGCACTATCAGAGCATGTCACACAATACAGCATATGCATAATGATGTATGGGTCCACATGGCAACAGATATTTCGGATACCGTACCCTCAAAGTTTGGAGAAGGTGTGATCTGAATTTGAACTTCACAGCTTGGAGCTATCTGTACAAATGGACTTAAACCGTCACTCTAAAACCCTCTATATTAAGCAAGCTGAGATATACATTCCAGGTAAAAATGTATATCTTAGGCCTTTTCTAATGTGACTCTGGACTCTCACCAATTAAGCAGGGACAAGCACTCAGCTGGTATCTTAATCAAAGCTTACCTTCAGGTTAGGTACAGATATTTGGGGAGATTGTGGGGAGGCTAAACTGCATTAAAAAGGGCCATGTGAGCTAACTTAGTTCACCCAGGTGCAGACCTTACACTTAGATCCCTACTTAGGTCGATCCAAGTGCAAATTATGCAGAAGTTCCAGGTAGGTTGGATCAGTCAAAAAATGGCTGACCGGATCCAAGTTACCTGTACCTTGGAGGTAGTCTAACTTAGATTGGGTGCAGCGGGGGCTGGGAGAGCCCAGCTACTGGCCCCAGCCCCAGGGCTGCACCTTTCCTTGTCCATCCCCACCAGCTCCCCATGGACTCCGCTAGTCCCACCTGATCCTGCCACACCATCCTGGGCCCCACCACATCCTCCACAGACCCTGCTAACTCCCTCAAGCTCCCCACTGGACTCTGCAATTTCCCCAATCACTCCAACCCCCTGGTGGACCCCACTAATTTCCCCAATCCCTCCTTGTGGACCCCACAAGCCTTCCCAAACTCCCCTGTGGACCTGGCTACCCCAGATCCCTCCAAGATCCCCCACTAGCTCCCCCATCTTGACTTCCTTTAGATTGAGTGGCCATTTTTAAGGTGATCAGACCTCCCTCTAACCTCCCCAAATGCCTGTATGTACCCCTACAGTTAAGAATCTAGTAAAACTATTTCTATTTGGGCGTTTGTTTCCAGTCCCAACCCTTGCAAAGGTGTCTGAAAATGAATACCCCACCTAGGGAGGGAAAAAGCCATGCAAATGTTTGGCACCTCAAGGTTCAGTTTGAGGCAGTGATTTTTCCAAATTGGTCCTTCAGGCTCGAGAACTAAGAGTGTATCTATACTGCAGGCTCCAGAGAGACCTCCAAGCTAGCTGAGGTGCCAGAAGCAGTCCAGTCACAGCAGCATGGGTTAATTTAGCGTACTTCTCAATAAAATTAGAAGCCTACACTGAGCTCAGGGCTGCCATGGCTAGACCATTTCAGGTATCCAACCTGGTTCATTCATAGCTAGTTCAGATGTCTCTATGCTGTAGTTTCTACTACAGCCATATCCAAGGTTACAATCCATGTGAGGTAACCAAGCACAAGGGACCCAATCCCTTTAGGCAAAATTCCCATTGAAGCCAAATGGGGTTTGGTTTCTCATAGACCTAAAATTAAGTGGTAGTTATATATTGCTAACAAAGAAATGTGGTACTTTGACACGTCCTTCATGTCGCTGTCTAGTTCCCATGCACTTTATATTTCTGAGGTGCTGACAAAATTTAAAATTGAAAAAAACCTTATAATATTTCAATCCACTTCCTTGGACTTTCTTCTATGTGGAGAGAAAAAACAACAGAAGTAGTAAGGAAGCTTTTCTATAGAAAACCTATGGACAGTTATTAACTCTAAGACGTTTATTCTAAATGTTCAATGTTACGTACAAAATTCAGAGAAGCATCAAGCACAAACAAAGAACATTTCTTTGAAATGCATGGAAAAATGTATTTATTGGTATGATGCAGGAAAGACAAGTCTCCATTTTGTTTGGCAAGGAGTTAAATCTCAGTTCCTATTCCCCTCCTCATCCATATCTCTTGGCTTGTCGAGGGATACTGGAACTAGCTCAGTTAAACAGCAACAAATAAGCAGGCTTTAAATGGATG